CGTCGATTCTTCTTTTTTAAAGACGCGAAAATTGAAGAAAAATAGGAGTGATAACGTTGCATCAAAGGAGTGGATTCAACCCAATTTAATCTATTAACTTACCTCGAAATGATTGTAACGAAACACACACAGACGCGTGTCTCTATCATTACACTTGTGCACGAAATAACGAGAGATAACGAAATAATCATTTAAATTAAAGCCTTTAACATTCAACAGCAGGCTGCAGTCAAAACAATATAATGTTAATAAACGCTCTATGATTTACGTTCCTCAATAGTTGATGACATTACAGTAACGGTACATGTAATGTGCTGTAATATGCACTGCAGTATTCCGATAGGGATCCGTGTATATGCTATTAAACATTGAGTTTTATGGTCTTTTATGGTATAGTATTTTTATCTTGTCAATATTCCTGCAGTAGCCTATTATGATTCCTTTATGGGTCTTCCAGGTTAATGTTTTGCGTTTTTGCAGGTTTTCATTAGGCCGCACTGCATGAAGTCCCCTCCTCTAGTAGATTAAGCTTCTCAATTATTTGAAGGGTTAAATTCAGTAGCCTGTGGTGAAGAAGACTGATACAGCCGATGGAGTCAAATTATAATTTATTATCTGTCAGAAATAATCGATTGTGACAGCAGTTCTCACAATTTCTAGAAAGTTCAGATACGTCCCCGTTTTAACCGGCAAACATAGCATCTGACCAATCTTTGGCGAAACACCTCAGATGTGGAGAAAATCGGAGAAAAGTAGGCGATGCTCAGAGAATATGAAATAACGAGCACATTAAATGTTCAATCTAAATAATTAAAACATATTTAATTCACCTATTCACCGAATAATGTTTAAACACTACATGAACCAAGAGGCGCCATAAGGAAATATGTCCCAGGAACAGTAATGTGTAGCACATTTCACTGTGCTGTAGCAATTTAACATTTCCACAAAAACAGCACTTTATTTAAGGTGCTCTTATGCTATGATTATGGATAGTTTCACGCATTAATTTGGGTGTGGCCAGCAGCAGGTGTATGTTGGGTATTTCAGTGACCGTGCAGGCCGGCCACGTTTTCCTCATTAACATTCCCTACATCCACCACTAGATGTCACCATTTAGTCGTCTAACCGAACCTCCAGAACCTCCTCCCTCCTCATCCTCAGTCTCCAAATCTATTCATGTAGATCCACCATACATAAATAAGCCTTTGTACTCTCCTCTAACTGTTTCATGACATATATAAATATTCCTCTCAGAACATTTGAATATAGGCTACACATTATTGTTTTCAACATTCGATTTTGATAAGAAGGGCAAGAAAATGCTGAGTAGGGATAATAATAATAAGGAATGTAGACTTTCACATTGAAATGTGGTCTATAAAAACGATAGTACATATTTGTTCCCAATTAATGACATGCACAATTTTTAAAAAGGAGACAAAAAAAGTGAATCGGTGCATGGTCTATGGTGCAGTAGACACGTCGCGTCGGCAACTACAGGTATGATATTGAAAAAGTAGTCTGGCTGCTTCTTTAACTTGTAAGGGTTTCATTACATCAATTTCAAAGTAGGCTACTGTTTGCCAGACAAGGCTCGCCTGTTCCTGTTCCCATCTGCATTGTGAGCTGGTGTCTAGCCACAAATTGGAGGGAAAATATGTATTTTAATATGGGATTTGCTTCTTCACTGGAAATTTCTGAGAATATTACCCCACACGCTTATTGAGTTTTCCTCATTTTAAATCACACGTTGAGCCGTATTATTTGCTCACATTACCATACGGGATGGAAATACAAAAATCGGTCTTATTTTGTTTGTCCCTGTTTGGAATGTGCAAGGCTGTTTTATTTCTTTGAATCGAGCACGCGGCCCTTGTGGATGTATTGTCACAAAACGGTGTAATATTGCAACCAAGTCGATTAATCATGAGGAACATAGAGAATACACGGTTTCCATAAATTGTGTGTCTGCTATACATGACTTAAATGAGGATCACTGAGCAGCACAGCGGGCTGCTTTCCTCGCTAACCCCCATTACAGAATCTGGTAACAGAAATATAGGCTAGACAAATAAAATAATAATAACGTTTACCCTGCTAATGTTGAAGGTTCACCTTTTGCAGAAAAAGGGGATGTTAACAAACGGTTTTTTTTGTGAGAACATAACATCCATCAATCGATAGTAAGAGGTTACATTAGTTTTGTTAAATCATCTACTACCACCATCTTTTCTAAAACCGTACTCGCATCGAGCTGTCATTAAAAAAAATATTGTATTGGAAGAATTCTAGTTTGATTGTATCAATAGCCAAATCATGAAACAATACACACTCTTAACACTTAATGAGCGTTTTTTTCCATATGTGCAAGTAAACGAATGTGTGTATCCTTTAGATGGGGATGAAATGTGGGTGATACAACAGAGGATGATGAGAGGACTATTTAAGCGTATACCAGTAACGTAATATTCTAATATTTTACAACAAGTAATAAGAAAATATGAGTTTTCAGAGTGAGGGACCTATAGGTGGGGTGATGGACTCATGTGGCTCTGAATATCTTTACGTGAGCCAGCCTGACCACTGGTGTTGAGCCACGAGCAGTTTAGAGCAAGGTTCAATGACGAGGGGAGTAGCCTATAGGGACTGTACGAGCTTTGGCTGAAACCAGAAAGTTTGCCCTTCTGGAAAACGTCCCACCAACTTGATAGAAACATCGCACTCAGTTCCAGCAGCTGCACCGTTGGATTTTGATAATTTGAGGTAAGTTATAATGTTTTTATTTAGGATTTGCTTTGTGTATGGACATCACACAGATGAAGTTTAAGTGATTCTACAATATAATCCAAGTAGAAGTGCTTGAATATATGTCTTGTATTTTATATAATGTGGGAATAGATATTTTTCTCCAAACGCAATCTGCACCTGCATGGGCACGCTCGTCCCTGGTACCACTGTGCGCGTGCACGGAGACCGAGAAGACAGCCTGAGAAATTGTAGCCTAAATGTCAGCGCTGCGTCACGGATTTTGCTCCAAACTGGGCAAGGGACTTTTTGGTTATAAGTTTGTGCACAGCCAGTGTCATCCTCATGTTATGAGAATTAAAGTATCACCTCTTCAGTATTGCCTCTGAATCTCCTCCATTGTGTGCCCACCATAGAGCTCTTTGTTCATGCATGCTGTAAATGAGTATTCAAAGGCTTTCGCCGATTTACATCATTCACATTAAAGAAAATTGTAACTATTAAGACCTCAACGCTGCCGGTATCGTGTCACTGCAACCAACATCACATTACCTGACAATTAGAGTATGAAATCTGAGATTTTAGGTAGGCTAATACATTTCATCGCTACAACAGGATTTACATCGATCCAAACGCACAAGCATGTAAAATAAACACTGAACGATAAGTATAAAATGCAAATATACCCACTGAATATGCATCAATATTAAAAAATAATACGCACACCAGAGCCAACGGAGGAGAATGGAGGAGCGAGTCGTCTCATTATGCATTGGCGGTTTTCCACGCAGGAGCCACGGTTCTCCTCTTCATGCCTGCCTTCTGTCCCGTTCACGTTATCGAAGCCTTTTGGAAAAACAAACAAGACTAGGTTGGCTTTCAAATCGGCAATCAAACACCCAAGAACTGGCTTGGGGGGGGAATTACTCCGACTGCGGCCGGGCGGACTATGTAGTAAGCGGGATTTGCATATTTTGATGCGCTAATTGCCTTGATGTATTTAAATATGGCTGCACGTAGCTGATATGCTTGTCTACGTCATTGAACGTGCCCTCGCTGTTAAACTAAAACGTGAATCCGGTTGAATCTAATGGATACGCCTGCAATTAGGAAAAGAGGGAGGGGGTAATAAGAGATTTACGTTCCCAGTTTCTGTATTTTAAGTCACATCATGATTTCTTGAAATTATTTTTTAATGACACATAAAGAAAATGAATTTGAGAAAAAAAGAAGATGTTTCTATCTGAAAAAAGCAGAGCAGGTGTAGTCTGCTGCTTTTTCACCAAGGATAGAGGGAAGCTATATCAAAAGTGGTCCAACTCGTTTTGCAGAAAAGTCGAGCATTAGTAGCTTAATATTCACAAAAACAGAAAAAAGTATGTCATCACCAAGATAATTAGCTGAAGACACAGGCTACTGATAGGCTACTGACAAGTAGGTCACCTCATTCTAACTTTTTTCTATGTGAAAGATGTTTCTTATCTTTATTTTCCCTTCTCTCTCAAGGGCTGTGTGTGAGTTGTCCACTTTGGGAGGGGGCACGCGCCTGTGTGAGAGTCTTATACGATTACTTCTTATTAGGCTCCTGGGAGAAAGGTTAAATTCATAAGTCCAGGGCCTGTACTGTACACACAGATCCAATCAAAACATTCTGAATGAAGTTTAAAGCGCTGTGTTTTTTCCCTTTTCTTTTTATTATAGACCTCATTCTAGACTTAGTTTGGGAATTGCATGTAGCAAATCATTTCTCCTCTGTCTGAAAACCGGTAAATGCGTTCCGTTTGTCAAAGCGTGTTAGCGAAGTGCCTGCAGCAAATTCATTACCACCCAACTGCGAGGCTCACTCCGTAACCTGGTCAGGGGAAGGGACGGAGAGGTCCACGCCAAACCGCGAACAATGCTGCCTCAGTTCGTGCGTGCAACAAAAGAACCGAGGGAACTTGTTTGAATTTCAGAGCACGTCCTCTCCTCACACAGAAGGATGGACTTTACACCCCCCCCCTCCTCCTCCTCATCATCATCCCCTCCTCCCTCCTCATCCCACCCCACCACCAACAGGGGGAAAAACTTGCACACTCTGAGAGCTTAACTGTGCATGCACTTTTCTATTTGGCGCTTGTAGACGTTATGGGAAAGTTGTCTCTCTCCCTCATCTCGCTCCCTCTCCCCATACCTCCCTCCTCCTCCTCCTCCTCCTCTTCTTCTATCATGTGCTTGGGATATGCTCATGCTTTGCACAGAGCAGCCGAAGCACGTCTAATGCAGGCTACTGAGTGTTAGCGGCAATTTTAAAGTGATGCCCCCCCTCCCAACCACATAATACGGCGGGGATACTTGAGGGGACCATATACCACATCAGGGTACACACGGACCCAACTGAACACCGGTGTTCTTCTCCTGCTTGGGACGCTTTCTGGACGATTGCAGTGAACTGACTCTCCTAGGAAGTAAGTGCAACTTTCTGCCGGTGTTAATAGGCTGCGTAGAGGTAATTGTGTGCGCAAAGGTTTCCAATGTGCGTAAAAGTTAAATAAATGCTGTCGATTAGAAAAAGTAGGTGTAGTTGTTGTATCAATAGTTGATCAGGACTGTTGAGTAGGGAGAGTGCACTTGTTTGGAATTAATTGTGAAGTTTGTGACTGGGAATGTTTTGTCAGTTTGGAATCAGGACACACTGATTAGACTTTTTGCGCATTTTAGCAGCAAATGTAAACTGACCGGTAACTTCAGGTGTGTGAAATAAATGTATATCAATATAGTTGGCTTTCATATGGTGTACTTTATGGACAGTTCTCGTTCATTCTGAAATAAATGTCACTCTATTCGACAGTAGGCTATCCTAGCAGAATGTGAAGTATGTTCCTTTAACTTTAAAAAGGAACATCTTGTTAAAAGTGGTATTGCCTGAAATTATCATTATTATTAGATCTATATGACAGCAAGACACTGTCTGTGGCTTTAGTAGAGGGACTTGATAAAGTGTTAGTAATATGATTTCGGGAGCGAAGTGTGACTCATTTACGCGCAGAAACACTTCAGCAAACCACATACAAATTGCTTAGCAAGATTTTTGACATAGGTAATAGTAATAGGTTGGGTTTATATGAAGTCAGCAAAATTGACACACAAGACATGTAACAAAGCGTGTATTGTATTGTTTATCCATGAGATATTGCGCACTAATACCTCGTTTGTTTAAATAATATAGGTTATAATGCGAACAGAATAATGCACTTATGGTATTTTTTTGGCATCTCGGCATTTAATTAACCCTCACGGATATACAGCTTATTAAAATGTCAAGTGGATCAGCAGGTTGTGCGTTTAAAAAATGGTGTGATGTGATTAAATCATGGCCTCTGTGTGGGAGGCCTATTCTGGAGCCTCCTTCACCCTAATGAGGTGAGCTTTATAATGTTGATCTTAATGATATCAGGTTGGCCTTACAGTCTCATATTCATCAGATCCAGATCAGGAACACAAAATGATTGTGAACGTGTGAAAATTGGCACACAAGAAATGAAGTGATGAAATACGCATGGATACGAGGATTTGGGATAGTAGGAATTACAGTTGATACATTCTTGTATATGTGGCAGGTGGATAGTTTATTTAGAAAGGAATGACTGAAACATAGAAATATGATTGCAATAGCTTTGGCTGGACATTTGAGAGACTAGTGCTGTTTATAGTAAGTAGTTCCTTATTGAAATGCACAGGCCCTGTGACTCATATTTGCTCATTAAAACACCTCCGCTTGCCCCTCCCACCGACGAATCGAGAGTAAACTTGAAAGCCAGATTTAAAACTGTAGCAAGTGAATGGGACACAAAAAAAGAGGATGATGCCATTGACAAATAAACCGGTGTTAATTTGTCACCACCTGATACTTCTCCTGTCACACGCACGCACATATGCACTCTCACACAAGCACTATCTCTCCCACACACAAATTCATTAAGTTGATTACTGTCAGAGGCTAACTTTTTGCTGAATAGTAAGTGATATATGGACATCCATAATCAAAGTTGTGCACAATGTACCTTAAACTGACCTGCAGTTACATGTCATCCTGCGCATGGTGCATCGCATGTTTCACTTATTGTTGACCCACTTCCAAATAGCCTATATATTAATCAATTAGTGCGAAGCATTCGTTCACTTCTTACACTTCTGTGGAAAAGTGAACGGCTTGACACGCGTACACGGTAAAGCTCTTGGGCTTCATTTAGCTGTGAAGCGACATCGCCAGCCTACCTGAACAGCATTGTAGTCTACCGTTCGGATGCGACGATGACAAAAACACAGGGTTCGTAAGGAATCGACGCGAAATCGAGAACGTGAGAGCCATTTAACCACAGTGATGACTGTTAGACTATATGAGAAGGAGCGCAATGAGCGAGCGAGTAGCGTGTTATTGCGATGAGAAAATGCAGCCTGCATTGGATAGAAAGAAGAAGCCCAGGCAGCTCCAGGATGCTGTCTTCATAGAGTTGTTTCATTTTTATTGTTTATATAAATCTGATCGCAGCTTTCCTTTAAAGCAGTTGAATCGCTCTCATTCTGTGTAAAAAAACATACGGTTGCCCTGCCATCCATTTTCATCCCTGTGTGAGAGAAGGTGTGCAGACTGCTCGATGCAAGGCGGATTTATTCCAGCGCGCTCAGTGTAATGGATGGATATTGTGCATGCATTGATAGGAGGGTGCATTTGCGATTTTTTTTCATGACATCATCGCAGTTACATTGTCGTGGTCCGAGGCCTTTGACCTCACCGGGGTTGGTCCATATTTTGGCCACCCCCAGCCCCCTATCGTGTGGGGATGGCCCTTATTCCCCCACTCTTTCCACACCGCCCGGCCGTGCAGCAGAAAGGACCCTTTGGCTCAGTCATCGGCTTTATCTCTCCTTAAATACACGCTGGATGTGAACGGACAACATGACACTCTTTGGCCAAAAACAAGCTCCTGTCTTCATAATCCGAAACATTTGCGTCGTAATTCCTTGTGCCGTTATTGCACTTTTCACAGGAAACCGGATTTCCCCCTTCACTACCGTGTTTCTTCTCCGCCGGCCTCACAGGATATCTATTGCTACTGCCACAACGACTTAATAGAGGCGAAAGAGCCTTTTGTGGGATTGGAGCTATTTGCATTGCAAATTAGGGCCCCCTGTGCAAGGATGACTGCACCTTACCCGCGATTTTCAAGGCCTACTTCAACTCAGTAATATGTGGTAATGTCAAGTGAATATGACATTAACATTGGGATTATATATCATTTTTTCCGAAGAATTGCTGCCCTTTTACGCCGGGTGTATAACAGTTCGGGCTGTGCAGTATGGTCTTCAATGGCAAAAAGGGAATATAAGGAATATAATGCACAATGTCACTTGAAAAAGGAACACTGATGACTTTTACATAATATATTTGATCTCGGAGAGATGGAAACACGGGGACCAGAAGAGGAAACCTACATGTGGATTATTGCTGAAGATTGGGAAGTAGGTTGTTATCTTTGGTTATCTAGCTGTATGAGTGTTCTGCTCGTCATAAAGCTAGATAACCGAAAGTAAAAACTACTTCCAAACTCATCGAGGACTTGTGGAGGACTCATGACATATAATGGAAAAGAGATGTAGATGCTATTCATAACTTTATTTTTATATTGGTTTTATTTTTGCTTCTTCCCCCCCAATGTACATATGCATATGCATGTTTACCACTAAGGGGCATTTTTGTTTGTGCACTTTGCTTATTTGTTTGTTTGTTCCTATTGATTAATAACTTTCAGGTGGCATAATGTAGGCTATACAATATTTTCGTAAACACACACACACACACACACACACACACACACACACTTCTGTTAATACAGTTTATATTTTAAAAGTTATTAAAATCGCATGTTAATCTTAGGTATTTCATGAGGATGAAAGAGTGAAATGTAGGGCTTCTGTGGAAACCCACGTGCGACTCCCTGCCATACAGCATGATCGAGCCCGGCCAGGAAACGGCGCTGGCATCCCAAACAGTAATAATTAGGACGTATACAGAACTGACAAAAATTGAGAGAGAGGGAGAGGGAGAGAGAGAGGAGAGAGAGAGAGAGGTGGGGGAGTTGGGGTAGGAAAAGGAGGGAGGTGGCAGAAGAGGGAGGAGAGGAGAGGAGGGAGGGAGGGAGGGAGTGAGGGGATTGGGGAAATATGGGGGGGGGTCGGGCCTGCTTAATTGATTCCGTTAACCGCAGTGCAGGAGATGTGAACGACTGGACGATCCCATTCCCACGCTCGGTGGGGCAAGTGGCAATGCCATGCCCAGGCCCAATGTGACAGACAGCGCAGTGAGGGCCTGGAGGGGCTGGGAGGGGGGATGGGGGGCGACAGGGGTCATGAAAAGACGTCAAGTGCACCAGACTCATCTGCATCCCCAAAGAAAGAGGCGACGTTTCCCAGCCCCAGCCGACGCGGCGCTCCTAAACTTGGAGTAGTAACGGTCTTGAATGCGTAATGTCTCGCCAATTGTACTGATAATGAGGACTTTGGGTCATTATCTTAAAACTATGCGGGTTTATGAATTTGAAAGAGATGGGCTGCAACTCTGTAATCCTGCAGACCCACTTCACTGCGCGGATCCTGCCGTTGTACGCTACTTATTCTTCTAAGAATTAGTCAAAAGCACAGATAATGTTGCATAAATAAGTCTGGGGCATTTCAATAGGTGCCATTTATGTGCATTGTTTGTAATTGATCTTGAACCCTAAACGGATTTAAGATCAAGTTTGCTGAGAGGACATTTGTTAGCAGCATAGCCTATTATACATAGGCTAGACAACATATATTTTTTGAACAAAAAAAGTGCAAATTGGATCAGCAGTTTTAAGGATAACCCTAACGCTCACTTTGAATGGTTTCCATTTTATCAGACAAAAGATTATTTGGCCGATCTCAGATATGCCTGAAAATATATTAGGCTCTGTTTTGCCGCGAATTATTTAATGTGCACAATTTAAAGCACAAGACCGCTGTTATAAGAATGTAACACTTACTGTATAGCTGAGTTGCAAAATTGTATTGTAAATAAGTGATATATAGTCCTCCCCTAATTTATCCACACAACGTGAGGTGGCTGTTGCACTTGGCGACTGTTTCATACGTCATAAACTTCTTCCGGTGCAAAACCACGTGTTTAAAACCGTCTTGATTAATTTAAAGACATGTCAAATAATTGTTTATCTTTGTATACATGTTTATGTATTATAATTTCCATGTTTTAAAATGTCTGATTGAGTCATAGTTGAAGTTCACACTATGTTCAGAAATCTGTGGGCTTTTCTCTTTTCTTTTCCCTTTTTTTTGCAACAGAGGATTATTCAAGTGCAGTGTTAAACAGAGCCGCAGTGGCTGAATTCAACACCTCCTTTACTGAAAAGGTCTCTTGCCGACTTTC